TTAAAAAATCTTTGCTTTCCTATAAAAATGGGGGTGCACCACATGTGATTTTTAAAAAGACCCCAGCTTTATGAGGTGTAATTCACATACAATACTGCGCACTCACTTTAAGCACACGTTTCATTAGTTCTGACAAGTTTTGCACCGTTTCCCCACCGCCACGCCAAAGGCGTGCAACACGCCCATCGTCCGAACACGCCTCTGCGCTCTTCGCTCGCCAGCCTCTCCCTCAGCCGGGCCCCAGGCAGCCGATGATCTGCTTTCTGTCACTATAGATCGGGTAGTTTCTTCCTCAACAGTTTTACATTAATGAGATCATGCAACAGGGACTCCTTTGTGTCTGATTTCTATCCCTCAGTGTGTTTTTGAGATTCGTCAGTCAGCGTGCTGGTTAGGGGTTCACTCCTTCTCACTGCGGAGTGTCCCACTGTACGAACGCACCACACCGGGTTTATCCCTTCGCTGGCGGATGGGTGCTTTAGAGTGTTTCCAGCTTTTGACTATTAATGAATAAAGCTGCTATGACTATTTGGATAAAGGTTTTTGTGTAGCTATGTTTTCACTTATTTTAAGCAAGACACCTAGAAGGAGAATGCTGGGTTGTGTGGTAGGTGCTATGTTTAACTTTGGAAGCAGCTGTCAAACTGATTTCCTGAGTGGTTGTACCGTTCTGGAGCACGTGAGGGCTGTAATTGCTCCACATTCTCATCAACATTTTTACTGAGAGTCTTTACTTTTATGGGCGTGTACTGGCATTTCATTGTGGGTTTCATTTGCATTTCCTTGCTGACCGGTGATGTTGAGCACCTTAACATGTGCTTATTGGCTGTTCAGTGAAGTGGTCTTCTGTGAAGTGGTCTTTCATATATTTTGCCCATTAAAAATTTGGGCTGTTTGTCCTCTTTTGAGTTGTGAGAATGATTTACATATCCTGGATGCTGGTCTGTATCACATATACTAATAATGAGTATTTTCTCCAAGTCTGGCTTGTCTTTTTTAAAATTTTTAATTTTAAAAATTTTAAAAATATTTTTAATTTTTAAAATTTTAAATTTTTTTTTAGAGAGAGGGGAAAGGAGGAAGAGAGGGAGAGAAACATGGGTGTGAGGGAGAAGCATCAACCGGTTGCCTCTCGTATGCGCCCCGACCAGGGGGCAAACCTGCAACCCAGGCCTGTGCCTTGACTGGGTATCGAACCAGCAACCTTTTGCTTTGCAGGACAATGACCCACCCACTGAGCCACACCAGTCAGGGCTGGCTTGTCTTTTCACTAAAAAGCAAACAAACAAACCAACAAAGTGTCCTTTGAAGAGCAGTGTTTAATTTTTCTGAAATCCAACTTACCATTTTTCCCCTTATTCTTTGTGCTTTTTGTGTTCTAAGAAACCTTTGCCGACCCCGAGGTTGTGGAGATTTTTCTCTGTTTTCTTCTCTAAGTTCTGCAGTCTAGCTTTCATGTTTAGGCCTATGATGCACTTCATATTCATTTTTGTATATGGTTTGAGTTACAGGTTGAGGTTCATTATTTTCCATACAGGTATTAAAGTGTTCCAGCACCATTTCTTGAAAAGACTGTCTTTCCCCTATTGAATTAGCTCAGTACCTTTGGCAATAATCAATTGACTACCTATATGCAGATCTATTTTGGGACTCTATTGTGTTGGCTTGGTCTCCTGTTTATCCTTATTTCAGGACCCGTCTTGACGGTGGGGAAACCTCTTGATACCGAGTTAAGCCATGCACACACTGAGAGGGAAATACTCCTTCTCGGGGTCGTTCAGACCATCTATCCATGTCCCAGGGTGTGACTTCCCCCGCCTCACACCCTCACTGCTGCATTCGCTGGGTGGCCACAGACGGGAGCAATTCAGGAGCAAGCCTGTGAAAGGCTGCCTTCGTCCCTCACAAGTTCATGACACTCTGAGTTTCCAAACCGGCTTCACATCCTCTGTCTCAGTCATTCACATACTGATTCAGTGCCTCTCATGTCCTCATTTATTTATTTTCTTAAGAGATTTTATTTATGCATTTTTAGAGATGAGGAAGAGAAGGAAAAAGAGAAACATCAGTGTGTGGTTGCCTCTCCTGCACCCCACTCTGGGGACCTGGCCCTCAACCAAGGCATGTGCCCTGACTGGGAATCCAACCAGCAACCCTTTGGTTCGCAGGCCGTCATTCATCCGCTGAGCCACACCAGCCAGGCCCTCTCACACACTCTTTTATTTGTCCATTCTTCACAAACACCCTGTGGGATGGGCTACTTAGATCTGATTATACCCATTTAGCAGAGGAGGAAACTTAGACTTTAGGATTATCAGCATCAGGATACCTTCTCAAAAGTTGGATTCTAGGTTAAGTAACAGAAAACCAAAGGCCAGTCTGAGTTCATCCTCTTCGCAGACTGTTCTTATTCTGCACGACAAATTCTGGGGAGAGTGGCAGGCCACAAGTCAGTCACACCTGTGCTACACTTGTGCCTCCTGTCAAACCTCAACATCCCCCCCACCCCACGCACCCTGAGCAGCTCCTCTAGACTCTCTGTCTGTCTCGGATGACCCCTGTGGCTGGCCTGGCGATAGTGCCTCTTGCAAGATGTTTCCGCATGTGCCTGTAGTACTGTTTCTGGGTGACGAGGTGGGGGTCACCCTCACTGTGAGCCCCACCTAAAACCCAGTCCTCTTGCCAAGGACAGAGTGCTGGATCAGGACTGCATTTTCTGGCTTGAATCCTTTCAAACACCCAACTCAAAACCTTTTAAACGAGCTTGCATTTCTGCTTTGTGCAAATAAATGACCCGGTAACTCCTAGGACTTCCAGTGACCCAATGTCTGCTCCAGCGATTCTCACAGGGTTGGGATACAGCAATGGGGGGGTGGGTGGGTGTGGGGCATTAGCATCTTTAGGATCAGGGTACTAATCTGACGACAGGTGAGCATCGTGTCCCCTCACTTCGCTGACTCAAGGCTGTACTTTTGAATTTCATCAAGAGTTAGAGAACATTTATGCTACCAAAGGGTGCAGGCTGAGAAATTCTGGTACATGCGGTCCTGGACAGGTCAGGAGGAACCCTGGCTCACTCACGCTTCAGTTGTGTGCTCTTAGGTGATTCTCTCATCTCTGAGCTTCTTTCTTCGTGTATAAAATGGGTAATAATCATACCCACCTCACAATACTGCTGCAAAGATGAAAAGGGACAATGAGTAGCAAAGCCTTTTTAAGTCTGAGGACCTGAAAGGTGCAACTGCAGTGCGGTGGATGGGTTTCCCCGAAGAAACACCACACAGGAGACTGAACCCACACAGAGTGAAGGAAGGAAAAATGGACGGACTTCTGAATCAGAGAGCCTTGAGACTGCCCACCTCCCAAGGCTGCATGACAGAGGCAAGGTGCTCAACCACACTCACATGTAAAGGGAAGACCACCTACCCTCACGCAAATGCCAGCATGCAGTGAGCTGCCTGCTATGCATCTTATATCATGCCCAGCACAGTTAAGTGCTAGAAGAATGACTATTGATAAGGTCAGACAATTCACTTCAGTGTTCCATATTTCCATTTTCCCTACTTTCAGCTTAGTTTTGGCAGCTGTAAACACCTCCCGTGGACAAGGTTCCTTTCTGGGTCCAAGAGCCAGGGGTCTGTCAGGCAGGGCTCTGCATCTCTCCCAGATCTGTGGTCTTATTGTCACCTGCTAGGGCTTAAGACGGTGAAGGGGAAGTTGAACTTAAGGCTGATGAACCCAGGTAGCCTGTTTTGGAAGGATCTGCAAAAAATGGGCAAATGTTTTAGTGCTTGCAGTGGGTAAGCACCGGCTATGGGTCAGAGCATGATCAGTTACGGATCAGAACGGAGTCCGTCTGTCCTAACCCGGCGGTCCGAGCCACCAGGCCTTTCTCAGGTTGTGGTTCTCTGAGAACCACATGCACCGTGCCACAGAATGGAGGTGGCCTGCTCTAATGGATGGTAGGGTTTCACAATACCAAAGGGAAAAAAAACTCAACATATTCCATAAGACTCAATATATCTGACACTCGTTTTAAAGAGCTCCTTTTTGGTACTGTAATCCATCATAAGCACCTTATGAGAAAGGCAGACCAGTCCAGCTATCCCACTCACAGATGAAGCCGCGGAGGCAGAGATTACACAATCCGACCGAGGCTCTCAGGTCTGTGCTCTTCGAGTGGCTTCACGTAGAACTGTTGGCTGGTGATCTTTGCTAAATGGTTAAAAATGAATTTAAAGGTTTGTGGAAAAGTGCTTTATGTTTATTGTACTGAGATGAACAGGTACGTAATGGACTATAAGACTGGTCAGTGCCACAAAAAGGGCTGACTCTGTGGAAGGGGAAGTTCACTCCCACCTTGGGAGGCGAGTGGAGGGTTGGGAGGGCTCCATAGCCGTGGTGTGAGGCAGGCCTTGAAGGGTAAAAAGCATTTGTGCCTCATACTTAGTAGGATCTTACTCAATACAACACATGTTAACAAAGCTGACAAATCGGATGACGTTACAAAGTAAACCCTAAGCAATACACACACTGCAGATGTGACTTCAACAGCCAGTTTACTCCTAGTTTCTGAATTCAGGCTTGGCTGCCTAATCTACGTATGGATCATGGAAGCCAAAATTTAGTATTTTATTGCCTTTTGCTATGATACAATAAAATCATCTTTATTAAAAACAACAACAACCCAGAACACCCTTGCTGTGGACCCAGGCAATGGTTAAGACTAACCAGAACTTCCCAGCAGAGGACAAGGGACACTCAGGTGCACTGATTTTGGGGACAAGAGTGACCCTGTTCTCAGTCTGCTACAAAGCCAAATTCTTCAACTCGGATGAAGACACACAAACTGTCAAAACCAACTGAGGCACAATATGACTCGTTTTCATAGGCAGAGCAGCAATAATCTAGAGAAAATAAAATTAACACATGGGATTGTATATCTTTTTAAAAAAATATTTTATTTTTAGAGAGAGGGGAAGAGAGGGAAACATTGATCCGTTGCCTCTCAACTGGGGACCTGGCCTGCAAGTCAGGCACATGCTCCAGCCAGGAATCGAACCAGCGACCTTTCAGTTCACGGGCTGGTGCGCAATCCACTGAGCCACACCAGCCAGGGCTATGGGTTATATCTTAATCAACACTGATAAGACTCAGAATTATTATAGCATAAGATACTGCTTTTCTGAAAAGCAAACAAAAGGAGTCATACATAAGAAGGTGGCTCAGATTCAAGAATTAAGTTCATTTTTTAAGAACTCTTCGGCACTAGATTCTAGGTTTCTTTTATGGTTTCAAAACTGAGTATACAATCGATAAAAATGATATTAATGAATGTAGCATGAAGACCTTAAAAAGTCTGATTATACCAGCAGTTTGGTGATATACTGGTAGAGCTGTTCTGTAAACGCTTCAGAGGAAAACTTTTCCTCCACCCTGGCTCTGCCAGCCAGCCCCATTGAGGCTCTTAAGGAAGGTTCATGGATGAACTTTTCTATTGCTTCTGAGAAGCGTGCTGGGTCCGGCTCACACAGAAACCCCGTGACACTGTGGACGACGGACTCCATAGGCCCGCCTGAATTAACAGCAACGACCGGGCACCGCATGTACATGGCCTCCAGAGGGACGATGCCGAAGTGCTCATTGCTTGGTGTATAAATCACACATGTGCAGCCGTGGAGGAGGGAGATTTTCTGTTTGTCTGAGAAAGACCGCAGGAAGGTTACAGACTGGTCAAGGTCAAACTGCTGGACCATTTTCTTCAATTCCTGATAGTGTTCCACGTTCTCCAGGACTCTCTCATCATACCCACCAGCCATGATCAGATGAACCTTGTCCCAGTCTTGGGATGTCAGTCTTTCACGCAGCTTCACCAAGGCCTCCAGTGCCAAAGTCAGATTTTTCTTCCTTTCGTACCTGTTGATGGAGAGGAACAGAAACTTCTTCCCCTTGGGGACTAGATCATCAAGTTTTTCAGGGACAGCTGAGTCAAAGCTGGTGACATTCAGAGACGGGTAGAGAACGTCGGGCTCCCTGTGGGACAGGGATGTGAATGTCTCCTTAAAGACTGCCGCTGTGAACCGGCTGTTGACCAGGATGCAGTCGGCCATGCCTGTGGTGTATTCTTCCAGCCAGTCGATCGGGGCCCTGTACAGGCATTTGAGAAAAGAATCCCTCTTGGTGAGAAGCAGATCTGGGAAGTGACAATAGAACAAGATCTTCTTTTGCCGTCTGGCCAGCTTGAACACTGGGATACAAGCAGACACCTAGCCAAAGCAAAAATCAACAACAGAGAGAGTGACTGGTCACCTAAACTTCAACTAAACCAAAAGAGCAGATGCCGACCCTGCCTCCTGGTCTGTGGGCTCCTCGTGGGCAGTGCCTCATTCTGCTTTGTGCTCCTGGACTCTCACCCAGTACTGAAGGCTGGCCGATGTTTTCTGGATGTGTGCTCAATATTTAAAGCTGCAAGTGCAGTGTTTCCTCTATAACAGTATTGCCCAATGGAAATAAAAGTCTAGTAACCACATTAAAAATTTTCAAATTGTTCAATTAATTTGTGTATTTTACACTTACAGCACATCTCAGTGCAGACTAGCCACATGTCAAGTGCTCAACGGTCACCTGCGGCCGGTGGCTACCATGCCGGACACAGCAGCTCCAGTATATTTCTCCTGAGGGACTGAATGAACTATTTAGTTTCGAGTGCAGGCTCTGGAATCGAGATCGCCAGGGTCTGACTCTTAGCCGTGTGACCACGATCAAGTAATCCACCTCTCTGGGCCTCAATTTCCTTTTCTGTGACATGGTGACAATTACAGTACCAAAAACCGATATGCTTTTTGTGATTATTAAATGCAATGGGGTATGTCAAAGGTTTAAGAATTTAGCATGTAGTATGTGCTCAGTAGATATTAGTCATAATCATTAGTGGGCATGAACTACATGCTGGCATTACTAGACTTTCCTGTTAGATATTTTACAAATCACTTAATCTCCAGCTCATGGAACACCTGAAGGTGAGCTTTAGGGATACTGAGGCATTTATCTACAGCTACTTAGTGAGAAAGTAGCAGCTAAATGGAATTTGAATCCGGCTCTCCCCTACTTCCAAGCTCAGTTTTTCCTCTACCCGCTGCAGTCTTAGCTGACTCGTGTTTATTAACCAGTCAGACAAGCAGGGTGTTTGGAAAATGAAGTATCTCCCACACAAGCAAGGATGATCAGAAGTAACTCAGGAGTCATAGTTAAAGGAATACAAACACAAACGTGACGCCATTTCCCCCTGCGGTGTGGCCAAGACTGGAGGGTCGGTAACATTCATTGTGCCAAAGAGCACGAAGGCTCCATCCTGTGTATGGGAAAGTGGAGTGACACACGTCCTCGGAGGGCAAATCTGGCAACAGCTACTGACATTTAAAACGAACAACTCTTGGACCTACCGATTTTATTTATGGGGAGTTACCTGAAGGACATACCGGTACTTGCAGAAACACAAAAGAAAAGTACAAGGATGTTCATTACAAAACTGATCTATTCACAAAACACTGGTCAAAATGTTAGTGTCAAAGAATGGATAAATTGTGGTACGTTAAAAAAAAAAAGAGCAGATTTTCCAGACACTAAGAAGAAGGAAGTTAATCTCTAATACTGATATATAAGGACATCCAAAACAGAAATTTTAGGTGGGGAGCGCCACCCCCCCCAAGCTGTTCAATAGTAGATATGCTGGTGTAGCCGTAGAGAATTTCTGCAAGGGTACGGGAGAAAACTGTTAACTGTGGCTACCTTTAAGGAGAGGAACTGGGACGGGGCTTTTACATTATACTTTTATACTACTGATCTTTTTTAGTCCTGATAAATGTTACTTTTTTTTCCAAACTGTACAACCCCCTTCAGTGCTCACAGCCCACAGATAGATAAGGAGGCTGGGCAATGGTTCGAGGTTGCAATTTACTCTGGCATGGGCACACTATGAGAGGCCCACGTGTTAGTTTTTAAAATAAAAATGTTTTGGGGGGCGAGGGTGCAGAAGAGCTAAAGCCCAGATCCAGGTGGGGGTGCTTTATCAAGCAAAAAAATGTGAACTTTTCAACAAGGATTAATGAAGAGCCATGTAAAGTTTTAATGGGGACATGACATGTTTAGCTTGATATTTTAACACCTGACACTGCTGAGGGGCGGGGTTACCTGACTGCAACGGCTATAGACAGTGTGATGCACGTGGCTTAAACGTAGTGTCAACAGAAATAATGCAATGAAGGCAAACGGACGAGTTACTCAGAAGTAAAATCAGACTCAAGGCTGACTTCTAATGCCTGCGTTTCTTACAGCAAGCCCCAAGGCCCATCTGCTTCAGAATCACCCCCTGTGCCAGAGAAAAAATGCAGATCTCGGGCCCCGTCTCATGCTCCTGGATGAAAGGATGAAAACTTCTCAGGGTGGGGCCCTATAACGTGCAATTTAAACGTGTCCACACTGAAGTTCGAGAACTACGATCACTCCCAGCTCCGATCTCTCCAGATCAGCTCCAATCCTTCCCAACTGCAGACCAGAAGAGGTCATCAGAGGTCAAGCACTGCGCCCTCCGCAGTGAAAAACCGAGGCGTGGCGACGGACCCGCCGTGTCACCTCACCTGGTCGCACACGACCACATCGAACTCCTCGTCGCTGAGGAACAGCACGTAGAGCGCCAGGAAGATCATGCGCACGTAGGCACAGACCGCGGCGCCGCGGCCGCCCCAGCCCAGGCTGCGAGGCAGCCAGTCCCCGGCGCAGCGGACCGGCAGGTCGCGGCTTTCGGCGAAACAGTGGCCGGGGTCGTAGTGGGCGGTCCAGATCTTCACAGCACATCCGCGCGCCCGCAGCGCCAGCGCCGCGTCCAGCACCAGCCGCTCGGCGCCGCCCACGCCCAGGTCTGGGTGCAGGAACAGCACCGACGGGCGGGAACCCCCTTTACCCTGAATGTTGTGGTCCCCCATGGCCCGGAGTTCTCCCCGGCTCCCCACGCCCTTGGGCCCTCGCGCGCAGGCTCCTTCCCCGGCTCCAAGCTAGCCCCGCCTGACTACGCCCCGTGGCGCCTGCGTTGCTTAGGCCACATCAGCGCAAATTCGTGGGCGCCTAGTAACTGCCGGAGAAAAGTTTCCGTCTGATCATGGACATACATGTCCTCCTTTTGGTAGAAATTGGACTCTATGAAGGCCGCTGTGATCTAAAGGAAGAAGACGGAAGGTCTGCACTTCCCACGGAGCAGCCGACCAAGTCGCCGGTAGCAAATTTGTACAGGCATGTAGTAGGACAACTCAGGCGTCCTTGGAGTCAGAGCCCTGGCCGGCCCGTCTGAGGGCGGGGCCTGAACCAGTTCCCGAACCAGGTTCTGCAGGCGCTGGTCCTTTGATTGCTCCAGCGCTTTCCAGCCGTCTTTTTCGGTGCCCTGCCACCCTCCAGCTTCCAGCATGGTATGGCGACCTCCGCTGCTCCTCCTTAGCCCCGGTCTGTCCCAGGCGCCCCGACTTCTCTCTTACGCCTTGCCCTTCTTCCGCGGCTCTCTTGCTTTCCCCAGCCTCCCGTGCAGGTGCCCATCTTTGCTGTCAGGGCCTGGGGTCTGGGGCCCGGCGGGCGGCGCTCACCCGTCTGTCTTCTTGTCTCCCTCCACAGCCTGGTCCGACCCCCAGTGGCACTAACGTGGGCTCCTCAGGACGCTCTCCCAGTAAAGCAGTGGCCGCCCGGGCAGCGGGTTCCACGGTCCGGCAAAGGTAAGGATGCCTGCGACCCTCTTGGCTGTGGGCCGGGAGAGATGGGGCCCGAGAATCCCCTGATTCTGAGAAGGAGTCACCGGGATATTAAGGTTTATAAGGACAGAACGAGCCTTGAATGACGTAGTCGTGGGAGTAATGGCTACCACTTAAAAAAAGAGTAGAACTGGAATTGGGTCAGAGACAACTGAGCAAACTGATGTCATTGAGCTGGTGTCGCTAGCCTTGAGCTTTGCACTCACATTTCTACCAGGAGGTCCCCTACACGCTCAATTCACATGACTTGTCCTCTCATCCCAGCCCCGCTCCCAGTGACGTTTCTTTATCAGTTCCATATGGCACTGCTCTGCTCTCGGTCCCCAAAGCCAAGACTTCAGTGGCATCTTGAGTTACCATGATGCCCTCTCTGTCCAGCTATTTGTCAGACTTTGAGTTGCACACAAAAACCTGCTCATCATTTCTTTCTCTCTTCATCTCTATTACCCCAGTTTAGACGTCAACTTCTCTCATTTAGTCTTTGGCGTTTTGTCCGTAACTCTTCTATTCTCCTGGTCATTTCCTCGCCAGTCCATCCTGTGCTCTGGTTCTGTTACTCATCTGCTTAGTTTCTTTTTATTAAACAAAAGGATAACAAGGTTTGTTATATTTTTTTCAGCCTAACAGTTTCTTCTCTATCTCCTGTGATCCAGCAACAGTGAACTTATTACTGTTTTATGAATATCCTCCCCTCCCCCAACACACTCCCACAATTTCTATTTATTCTCTCAAGACTAAGCTCAGAGGTTATTTCCTCTTGAGGCCTTCCCCGTCTCCAAAAGTAGCAGTAGCTACTTTTCCCTTTTGCTCTCAAAGCACTTCATTCATATCGTGGTAACAGCATTTATTTCGGTATTAGACTGGTGGAAACTGCCCAAGTCAATCTCTGTGCTACGGTGAGGCTCAGCACAACAAATGATGAAGGAAGGAAGGAGTCAAGCAACCCTGGTGTCTTGGGACTTTTGAAGGAACAAGTGGGGTTTTACCCTGAGAGGGTAAGACCTTGAGGGGATACATGAAAACTGTTCATAAGGATGTGAGGAATGGTGAGATTCTTCCTGTTAGCTACAGTAGGTAGATACAAAACTAACAACTTGAACTTACAGGAGACAGATTTCTGCTCAGAGGAAAGCAGTTCTGATATAGCTCTGAGAAATGGTGGAGTTACCCCAAACAATGGAGAGTTCCTTGTCGCTGAGATGTTCGGGGGAGGCTGGGATGGACCCGCTGGACAGTGTGCCAGGCTGCGGTTGAGGTTGTATGGTTTGGGCTGCTGTCCGTTTCCACCCTGAGTTCCACGGGTCCTTTGCGCTGGGATGGAAACACGTCCTGCAGCAGGGCAGGGCTCCTCGGAAGTGGGTCCGGTTCATAAGAACTGGTAGTACCAAGGCAGGGAAGTCTGGCCATCTCAGAATTTTTAAAGAAGAAAAAAAAGAGAAATCACACATTTACCAAATGTAAAGATATTGAAATAGCACATTTACATGATAAGAGTGAAATGGCTGCTGCGCAGAGGAAGTGGAGAAATGTAAACATTTGAGGACAGATGCAGCTTTTCAGGTTGTGGGTGTGGGCAGCCTCAGGGTCCAGTCTGGCTGTGACCGATGTAACTAGACAGATCATGGGTGTGTGTGTTGAGAGAGACAGTTGCGTTCCCTTCTACTGTTTTGGCACCCTTTAAGTGTTACGTAGTGCCTGTAACGTAATAGGTGTTGGCTAAGAATACATCTCTGCTTTGTAAGTCTCTGAAAAAGTTGAAGCTAATGGTTTAAAAAGTTGAAGATGATGCTTTGGGTTGCGAAGTGTGCCGTTTCACATTCTCTCTCCGTGCTCTGTGGTGCAGTAGAGGCAGCACCTGGGAGGAGACTCGGTGAGGGAGTTCACACCAGGTCAGGTCCGGTCCAGGGTGGAGAAGCCCTTGCTCTCTTTCTAGTGTAGCATAGAAGATTGCTGTGAGGAGGAAAAGGAGCAGTAGTGCATTGTAAAGTGTAAAGCTGTAAAAAGCTCCACAGCATTCAAGGAGGATTAATGGGAATCAGGGATATTAACGTGAGAGAATAGCCAGGGATATTAAGATAGCCATCAAATAGTTGTTGGGGGAACATGCCAGGCACTCTTCTGGCTCGGAGGCTATATCTGTAAGCAGCTAGTCAGGGTTTGACCGAATAAACTCTATATTTCAGTGTGGGAGACAGGCAAAGAAAGAAATAGTGTAATTTCAGGCAAGAAGAGCTACGAAGAAAAGTAAGGCTGGGTGGGGGGTAGAGAGCGGTGGGGTTGGGGGGTGGGCCTGTGGCTGTTGTAGCTAGGGTTTTTGGGGTAGGGGACCTCTAAGTGGAGGCCTGTAAGAAGCCAGGGAGGAAACCATGCAGCGGTGAGGGAGGAATAGGCTCCCGCCTAGACGAAAGGAATGGTTAAGTGTGAAGACCCCGAGGGGGGAATGAGCTTGGCTTTGAGGAATAGCTGGGAGGCTGTCCTGTTAGTACACAGTCCGTCAAAGGTCAGTTATGAAAACCATCATGTTACGGTGTAGGAAGAGGGAGGCAGTTACACAGTGGCCAGTAAAAAAGGGTAAAATAGGCCCCAAATAGAGATTAAAATGGGTTCCGTTAACCTCAACCGACTTCCCAGGGGGCGGGGTGGGTGGGCGAGGTATGGGAGGTATTTTGAGTACTTCCGGTATTTCTAGGGGTCCTGACCTTCAAGGCCTCTTTGTGTTCAGTGTGTCAGTAGATATAAGAAATCTTTAAAAAGGCCAGGCTAATCCTTTCGACCTCCTGTAGTTCCAGGAGACTTTGAAGCCGGGACCTGGGGTTGGGAGGTTGTGAGAATCGTGGGCAGCACCCGGTCCCGGTCCTCCTGGTTCAGCCCATGACTCACCAGCTCAAGTTCCCTTTCACGAACAGGGAGGAAAATTTCAGGGACCTCCCCCACGGACTAAACGACGTGTGTGTCTCTGTATGAAAGCTCCTCCCCGTGTGTGGACTCTACTCTGTAAACCCCTGTGCAGTGTGCTTGCTGAAGTTTACAATCAGTTTTCCCATTCTATCACAAACGGTCCTGCAGGTGAGTTACACATTCCCGGGCCACACCATGCAACCTACAATTAATGTAGCTGAAATAGGATCTCTGTAGAGCAGTAGCCCCGAATCGTCATGTGACACTGATTGCTCCCAGGGTTCCAGCATGAACTCAGACAGGTCTTTTCCTGGAACCCGAGGTGCAGCCACGACTCCATTCTTCCACCTCGTGCTGCAGGGCAAGCCACCCGAGCTCTGGATGGTGCTTCTTGCGTTAGGGTGTGGGGTAAAGGCCATGGCCAGGCGAGGTGGGGGTTAGGGTCCAATTTGGGAGGGCAGTGAGAGGAGATGGTAGGGACAAGGTTTCCACTCTGTTTTCTCCCTGTATGCCCTTTTCCAAAACCCGGAACCAGTAGCCCATGGATACGAGGATTGGGATCATGAGAGAGGGCGTGCTGGGATTTGGGAAACGATGAGGGGCAGTGGTGGGGCAGTGGTGGGACAGCGCTGACCCTCTCCCTCACCCAGGGCTTCTGAGTTGGTGACAGATGGATAGGCTGAGGAGGCTTTCTTCTGACTGCTGCCCCCGCACCACTCACTCTCAGGTTGTGGTGCTGGAACTCCCAGGCGAGATGAGAATTGGGGTCGGAGTAGCGCTCGGTGGGGGAGCAGCTGTCGGGTGGGCCCCCCTCTCCCACGCAGTGACTGAGGAGAGGAGGGGCTTCCCTGGGCCTGTCTGGGCTGTGGTGTAGTGCTGTCCGCTGCATCTGGGCGCCAGGACTGCCTACGTCCCGCAGCCCATCTCCCCGGCCCTAGTCTCCTGGTGAGGGACCCGTTCTGGGGGGGTGTGCCTCTGTCCACGACCCGCGGCCTCTCACAACAGTGAAAACGTAACCAAATAACCAAATAAGGCTTTGTAAAATGTGCGTCCCATTTCGGGACCTGGATTATAGTTAAAACTTAGTATTTTTGTCTCTTTTATAGTAAATACAGTAATTTTAAACATTTTAGAGTAATCTAAAAATCAGATTACAGTGGATCCTTGAACAACATGGAGGTTAAGGGCAATCAAAAATCCACGAATAACTTCTGACCCCCCCTAAACCTTAACTGCTACTAACCTCCAGTTGACCAGAAGCCTTGCCAACACCAGAGGCGATTAACACGTGTTATACATGGTATTATTAGAGTACAGCAAGCTAGAGGAAAGACAGCATTATTAAGACAATCATAAAGGAGAGAAG